TAAGTTACTTGCTTCTATAATAAAGAAATTGATATATAAAATATATATACATAAGTATATTCATGGTAAATTCACTAGATTTACGTTCAAATTTACTCCTTCCCTGTATAACACGTCATGATTTATTTCAGAAGGACCGTGATCAGGATTATAATTGAAACTGGACTCCTGTACAAAATATAAAATTCTTAAATTATTAAACATTTGGACAGGAAGTGCTTCTAAAATTCTGTGTCACCTGAATATTCCACCAATGTGCTCCAATGTAGTTCGCGTAGTTGCCAAACTGTAAGGACACAACCTCTCGTTTGGAGGACATTTTTTATTTCTGAACTTTTTCTGTACAATTATTAAGTTAAGTATTAAATAAATCGTAATTTTGAGCATTTACTAAAATCACGATATTTTATACTTTCGACGGGCGCGTCTTTGGCTGTGTAAAGTCAGCTGTAACAGGAGTGCTGCCAAGTTATCATAGTTAGTGCAACAGGGTGTATACGGTTCAAAATACAAATTTTTATAAAAATAAAGTGAAGCATCTGTAAACTGAACTATGATGTTTTCTCTTTAGCACCAGATGAATAAGGGTTGTTCCTAAAAATATACAACGCCGCCAGGGCAACATAACTAGACCGCACAGTCTAAACATAACATATCCTTAATGACAACGACATTATATTGAACCACTTCCGCTTTCACATTGCTTGTTGGCCTATACGTTATTCATTTGGAGATTTTTAACGAAACAAAATTAACGTGCGGTGTCTAGAATCCCACTGCAGGTCTTTCAAAGATCATTTGATTTTGCAGATTATTCTTTTACAAATAATATGGATTCAAAAATATTTTGCAGATTTTACAATGGCAATTTGGTAACGAGTTTCTTTGGTTATATCTACATATGTGTATTTATTAACAAGTGCCTTCTAAATTATGTTTTATTTGTTACAAAAGTATGTTAGCATAAGATTTACATTATACGTATTCGGATTACATATTTACATTTGTATACATTTTCTCTAGATTTTGAGTATTGTATTAAAGCTATGTATTATATGTTTTCATTCTTTATCCTTACGGCGTTTTACGTTATAGCAAGGATAAGTCTATCTTTAATAGGCAGTTTGTTGGCTAAAAATTACTTTTTCTCCTCGTTCAGCTTCATAGACAGGTAGGTATTCCATATAACAGCTACAAACTGTGCAAACAAAACTTGGTAATTAATTGGAACCACTGAGAAATTAATAATTTGTGCAGCTGGCCAAAGCATATAATTTCTACTCAAAATCATAAAGTAATCTTCTCTTAGAGTTTCCTTTACTTGTGCTCGTGTTTGGCCATTTGCCAAGCCAATCACGCCCAGCACACTTGCTACGAATCCTGGGGTAAAAACTAGCTGGTCTAAGGCCATTTTCTTTAATCCGCGCTTAAATGGAGGGTCCGTCTTTGGTACCAATTTATCAAGAGTTCCGTACCAAGTTTTCAATACAGGACCGACAAATATAATTCCCACGGAGGCAAATCTCAGCATACGGTTCACATCAATGTTTCGAAGATCCCTTTTTTCCACCCATGTCTGGCTAATAACGTCGCCGGCGCCCATAATGAAACCAACACGGGCGCTATCCGTAAGTAAAGCACGAAAAGTTGTCATTTGAACAAAATGCATACAAATACTTTAGATTTTTTTAACTATTTAAAAATAATTAACAATTCGTTCAACCGGCGAACAATTTTTTTGGTGGCAATTGCATAGAAAAATGTAAATAAACCCATTTGACAGTTCCTCTACGTAGTTTGCGGAGTTGGCAGCACCATTCCAAGCGTGGTGATTTGGTAGCACAGACAGAAGTATAATACTATTTTACACAGATTAAATGAAATTTCGTAATCTCATTATGAATTCAAAATATATCTATGAGCCAATTCTTGATCGTAGTATCGCCCAGTAGTGGCTATTCGATATATTTGCTCATGCACTTTAGAATTTTGCTTGTCAATAATATTGATTCCTTCATGCGAATGACGATTTTGGAGTCCACCACCAAAATTTATAACGAAATTACAAGCTTGCTTCAGTAGCTTTCGAAAGAAAAAAGCCCAATTTTCATTTATTAAAAATATGCATACATATTTGTATCAAGAATGATAGAACACAGTCCCTCACTGACTAACCGGCTGTCTTCACATGCTTGAAAATCTAGCTTGCGCTCTGCTTTTTTCTCTCGCAAGCGAGATAGAGTTTTGTTGACTGGGCATTTGACAGCATACTCTTTCATTTGTAAAATGTCGCTCAAAAAGAAGGTTCGAGCTTTTCAGACCAAATTTGTATTTTCCACTAAAGTAAAGGAGGTTTTTACTCTGAAGAACTCTGCGAAATGAGAAAATACTTGCGAGAAAAAGGATGCTCTGTACTTTTTGCGGTCTACACGTGTGAGATCTCGCATGCGTCGTCACGGTCATGCGGTGATGAGTTTTCAACACGCAGATCCAATAAAATAGATCATCTCAGCTGACACGTTCTCCGTTTTTACGTCCGTGTGTAACTGCGCTTTACGACTGTAAACACGTCATTAACACGAAAGCCGGTTCTACGTACTGGAGTGACTCGAGGTTTTTCCGACCAAGGGCTGTTTTGTCGGCGACCCAACTCCGTTAAGGTCGGCAAAATCCATCAAACACTGTTCAACAATGCGGCTAGCTACATCAGATCCGTATCCTTCTGCTCAGGGCTGGCATAGAGTCTAACCGAGGGCCAGAAATTTACACCTGATGCGTATGCCAGAGACGACTGCATACAAACTCCCCCTCGGTCGGGCTCAACGCCTGTGACGGATGGAGTCATCTCCGCAGCTGCTCAGGCCTACGTACGCACCGGCAATGGACCACGTCATTCGCGACCCCATGCTGTGCGAATCGGATCGTCTCTACACACCCAACATGACACAATAATAGACACAGTAACGAACACAACAGCACCACAAACCGCCGCCGGAAATTCCTAGTCCCTCCGACAATCTGCTTGGTTTGGCAGTCCAGAATATAACGTAACGTGACATCAGTCAAGTGCAACTCCTACCTTGGCTGGTGCCAGTTAATGGCATGCTTAGGTCTTCGCAATACGCGTGATTGGACGAGTGACTACGTGGGCCTCTGCTGTTCTGCCGAGTCCCAAACTTCCCCGCGACGCCGCCCACCACCACCACAAGGCAGCACATGCAGCAGCGGCCGGCAGGCAACACTAGTCTTTAACACCCATATCACAAAAGGCATGGAATATTGATAGCTGCGGTCCAAGAGACGAACACTTGAATTGGACACTTGTCGTAACTTGTAACTGGTTGTTACTAAAAAATGATGTCCAGAACTGTTGCAGGTCATATTTAAAAATTGCGGGTTTTTGTATATATATCGGGAAAATATCAACCAGAAAAACAGAAAATACTGTTCCAAGTGGGTTTTTAGACGCCAAATGAATTGAGATATCACGACCGAGAGTTACCAAATGAGATCGGAAGTTACCAAATTACCAAAAGAGAATAAAAGTTACCAATTTTGGTAACATTTTACTAAAGTGGCAACCGTGACCACTTTTTCCTAGAAGTATCAAACTACCGATATTTTTGTTATTCACCTTCACGCTAGCGATAGTAATATCGATTTCAAATTAAAATTTTGTGAAATCGTACTCTTTAAATATATGAAAATTTTTGAATTGTCATTGAAATAAGAAGCTTGGAGATTTTTAATTTAATCGAATAAATTCTAGGTTATGTGATATCATGATTCAATAATTAAAGGTTTGCTCACAAGTCACATTAGAGTTTTGACAGTTCCTTAGCTCCCTTACAAAGGTTGCAACATACACGCACCCATACACAGTGGCTTGCCACGAGAGCCGATTTTGACAAGAGGAAGCGAGAAAACTGTTTTCTGAGCAAACCTGTTTATTATTGAATCATGATGTGAGATTTTATATATATAATATTTTTATCGACTAATATCGATGGGGCCGAAATAAAAACTATCGATATCATTATCGACCGTCGCGTACCTCTACTGTTTGGACAAAAACGTGCATTTGTTTGTGGGGACGGACTACATACTACATACTTTAAAAATGATTGCCACTAAACTTGTTCTAAATAGCCGCACAATGGGTGGGGAAAAGCATGGACTACAATTTCATGAAATGGAATTGGACGAACGACTTCTAAAAGTAAGTACATAGGCGATTCTTAATTTCCAATATGCATTGTGTGATTACTACTAAAAACCATCTGTAGGCCATTTCCAAAATGGGTTGGCTGCAGCCGACACTTATCCAGGAAGCTGCTATACCATTGCTTTTGGAAGGGAAAGATGTAGTCGTGCGAGCACGTACTGGCTCTGGTAAAACAGCTGCATTTGCATTGCCTTTGTTGCAGAAGTTGCTTAATTCAAAATTAAATGCTTCGGAGCAATGTACCAGCGCTCTTGTGCTTTCCCCAAGTAAAGAATTATGTCAGCAAACGCGTACAGCAATGGAACAAATGGCTGATAAATGTGGGAAAGTCTTACGCATAGTAGATCTTTCTTCCAGTGATGTTGTTGCTCAAAGGCACGTGCTGTCTGAGCGCCCGGATGTAGTGATATCCACACCCGCAAAGGTGCTTGCGCATATAGAGTCGGGAGTATTGGATTTAAAGAAAATAGAAATGCTTGTAGTTGATGAAGCGGATTTGGTATTTTCTTTTGGGTTTGAAAAAGATTTTAAAAAGTTAGTCGAATATCTACCACCAATTTATCAGGTGTGTAAGAAAAAGAGAAAATGTTTAAATGTGCTTTTAATTACTGTACTTTTTTACTCAGGCCGTTCTTGTGTCCGCAACAATATCAGACGATGTCATGAACATGAAAAACATTGTGCTGCATAATCCAGTTGTACTAAAGTTGGAAGAGCCAGATCTAGTGCCCGAAAGTCAGCTATCACATCAGCGTATATCCGCCGAAGAAAATGACAAGCCGGCAATTTTATATGCTTTATTGAAATTGCGTTTAATACGTGGCAAAAATGTAATTTTTGTTAATTCAGTTGACCGCTGCTATAAGTAAGTTGGTGTTCAGCTATGTATTCTGTAAGAAATTTGCATGATGACGTTTTAGATTATAGATGAATGCGCAACATCTATTGGGACGTTGGCGCACACATGATTTACTAGACTAATCTTCTCTCTGATACAAGTTAACATAAGCTCGATTTTGCTCTATAAAAATTGTTATTTACGTTAGCTATGAATTTTGCTTGCTTTCAGACTTAAACTATTTCTGGAACAATTTCAAATTAAATCGTGCGTATTGAACTCGGAGTTACCAACCAAAATACGCATACATACAATCAATCAATTCAATCAGGGTATCTACGATCTTATTATTGCCTCTGATGAGCGTATGCTGGAAAATCCTGGCCGAAATAAAAGTGACCGTGAGTCGGGAGCTTCGCGGGGAATAGATTTTCACTGCGTTTCGAATGTAATCAATTTCGATTTCCCCACGGACGTGAACTCATATATACATCGCGCTGGACGTACGGCTCGAGGCACAAATAAAGGCAGCGTACTATCATTTGTCAGCCTAAAGGACAAAACAGCAAATGAAGCAGTTGAGGAGAGATTACGCAGGGGTTATTTGAGCGATGATCAAATTATAAAGTAAGATAAATCATACATAAATTGTTAAAATATGTTTAGTAATACTGCCAATTTTCCAGAAATTATCAATTCAAGTTGGAGGAAGTCGAACCCTTTCGTTATCGCGCGCAAGATGCCTGGCGAGCAGTCACGCGCATTGCAGTGCATGAAGCACGCATGCGTGAAATCAGAATAGAGATTTTTAACAGCGAAAAGTTGAAAGGCTTTTTCAGTGACAACACCCGGGACCTGCAAGTACTACGGCATGACAAGCCCTTAAAGACAGTTAAAGTGCAGCCACATTTATCGCATGTACCAGAGTACATTGTGCCTAAAGCTTTAAAACGGATGGCAACAACCGCAGCAACGCGAGTTTCTAAACAACCTCGCGGCTACCATTCTACAGCAAAGGCCGCGTATGAAAGTCAAAAAGATAATCCATTACTCTGTAGTGAACTCGATTATGGACGGAAACGTGGTGGCAGTAGAAAGAAATAAAAATTTTGTTTTAATGTGTTTTGCCTTAAGTCGTAGCTGTAATGTTGTAAAATAAATGAAATACCAAACATAGGATCATGTATTTGCTTGTCTTTTCACTTAAATATTCATATATGATTTTTATTCATTATATATGTGTGTATGTACATAAGTTTGACTTAAATATATGTATGCCCGTAAATAAGCATTTATGTAAGCTTTCTGTATCACTTTACAAAAACGTCTGAATACTTTGTACGTTATTTCTTCTATGCATATTTTTTTTTAAGATTTTCGAAGCGTGAGTAGAGTAAAACAAATTTCATTGATATATGCAGAGAATTCCAATTATGTGCTTAAAAAAAAAGTACAAATACTAAGTGTTTACGACGTATGTTCAGGAATCGAACTTTACGAGTTTAAAAACGTCCTAGCACAANAACAAATACACGTATGTTCAGGAATCGAACTTTACGAGTTTAAAAACGTCCTAGCACAAGGCTATAAAATTTATACTTAAAATAGTAGTTTTATACTGGCTTCAAATAGTATATAAATAAAAGGTAGTTCGATAATTGTAACCTAAAAGTATTCAATTAACTTTATGTTTTTTTCATTCAGAAATTTTTATAATTCCAAAATTAATTCAACGCTACAAATTTTAGACTCTGGAAAGTATACGATTAGGTTGCGGTGCAATGATCCATTAAAGCCTTTGACGTGTAAAATGTTAAGGGAATATAGTACGTATGTAAAAGCAATGAGGTGATAAGAAACTAGCTTGTCTAGTTTAGTTTTTTTCATTGCAGCTATGCACTTTTGAAAATACATTATACACATTTTAGCTTTACTCGCTTTGTACCCGAATGTTGAGCACTATTCAACAGAGTTTTCGGCGGCGCGGAGCCATCCTGGGCGGACCAACCAACGCCACATTAGCACCTGAAGGCAAAATTTCCCCCGCTGGTAGTTGCAAGTGTTGCACCATAAGTTGTGGCTGTTTTTGTAATAAGCTCTCTGCAGCTAGACGTTGTTGCTGCTGTTGTTCGAGGATGTCATCATCGTCATCTGAGATCAATGAAATGCTTAAATCACTGGATAATTTCAGTGAAATCGGCGCCGGTGTAGGCGAAACCATTGGTGGCGTATCTACAACTTGACCCTTGCGCCGCGTTGTCGTCACTTTTTGCTGCCCATTAGCAAATTCTGGTATACCACATGAGGCAAGGCCTTCTCGCAATTTTGTCAGTGATAGTTCATACGTACGATTCGCGATTACTGTATGTACAGTGGTTTCATCGGGCAGCATTGGAAATAATTCGTTGGCTTCCGCCTTGGGACATGCGCCCGCAGATGAGGAGCGAGGTACAATCGAAACGGTCACTTCTTCATCGACTTGTCCACTGTAAGGCGTTAAAAGTGTAGGATATTTGGTGGGTTTCGAGGGCGTGGGTGGTGATTGAGATTGTGGCGACATGTGCGCCAATGTTGCTGAAGGCAAGGTTCCAGTTGCTGTTGTTGACACTGGCGAATCCAAGGCGTTGATGGCATGTTTTTTTGTTTTTGCTGGCGTCAACGCTGAGCTTACTTCAATGTCACTATCATCACTCAACACTATACTTTCATTATTTACGATAGTGGGTTGTTCATGGCGTTTCGGTAGTTGTGATTTACGTTTGCGTTTTACACGACGTGGCATTGGCGCTACCGAAGCGATAGGTGGTGCTGCTGCGTTTGTTAAATTCTGTACAGGAATAAGTGTTATATTCGGCACTTTTGAAATTTCTATGCTCTGGTTGGGATAAACCAGCGATAAAAGTTGATTAGATGACGGTGACTTGTTTGATAAGGGTACGAGTGGGGGTGGCCCATTGGACATTGATTTTGATGTTGACTTTTCAATTAAAACATTTTTCGTTTGATCTGTATTAGAGTTGTAAGACTTTTGTTCGTCATCCGACAATAAATCAATTGTAACATCGGGCCGTAAAGCGGATAAATCACGTTTACTTCGTTCAGTCTTTTTCCGTTTCAGTTTGAAGCCTGCCGCAACCAGCAAAGCTTTGGCCCATCGTAGGCGTTTCCTTCGCAGACGTTTGTTGTCAAATAGTAAGGGGGAGATATAGAAGGGGCCGGAATGTTTGGCAGATGCATTTTGATGAAATTTATTGTTGAACTGGGACTCCGTCGGTCCTGTCGGTTTTTCTTTCAATACAACTGTAAATATAAATACATTTTCATTGGTTTAATTACAGGCATTTACGCGCCCTCATTTTTCGGTAGTAAACTAACCATTATTATCATCCATTTTGATTTTCAATCAAATGAAAAAATGTTTGCTATTTTGCAATGGTGTTGACTCCTAATAGAATGAACTTGCAGTCATAAGTGGTGGTACAGTCCTTTTTGCAACTTGCATAATTTTGAGATTCACCCTTATTTACATCCTTCTTCACTTTGTTGAATACTGCCTTTNGGTGGTGCTGCTGCGTTTGTTAAATTCTGTACAGGAATAAGTGTTATATTCGGCACTTTTGAAATTTCTATGCTCTGGTTGGGATAAACCAGCGATAAAAGTTGATTAGATGACGGTGACTTGTTTGATAAGGGTACGAGTGGGGGTGGCCCATTGGACATTGATTTTGATGTTGACTTTTCAATTAAAACATTTTTCGTTTGATCTGTATTAGAGTTGTAAGACTTTTGTTCGTCATCCGACAATAAATCAATTGTAACATCGGGCCGTAAAGCGGATAAATCACGTTTACTTCGTTCAGTCTTTTTCCGTTTCAGTTTGAAGCCTGCCGCAACCAGCAAAGCTTTGGCCCATCGTAGGCGTTTCCTTCGCAGACGTTTGTTGTCAAATAGTAAGGGGGAGATATAGAAGGGGCCGGAATGTTTGGCAGATGCATTTTGATGAAATTTATTGTTGAACTGGGACTCCGTCGGTCCTGTCGGTTTTTCTTTCAATACAACTGTAAATATAAATACATTTTCATTGGTTTAATTACAGGCATTTACGCGCCCTCATTTTTCGGTAGTAAACTAACCATTATTATCATCCATTTTGATTTTCAATCAAATGAAAAAATGTTTGCTATTTTGCAATGGTGTTGACTCCTAATAGAATGAACTTGCAGTCATAAGTGGTGGTACAGTCCTTTTTGCAACTTGCATAATTTTGAGATTCACCCTTATTTACATCCTTCTTCACTTTGTTGAATACTGCCTTTTACGCCAGCTTTTCAACATCTGTGCATTAAAAATTTTTCTTCAATTCAATTTGCAATTATATTTGATGTTTTTCAATATTTTTGAAGAATAATAAATCTTTGTAAACAATTGCAGTTTTTGTGTTTACAATGTTTTTTTTTTCAGTAGCAGAAATGAAACGCAGTAGGGTTGCTTCGCATGACGTTTGCAAAATGACAGCAACCACTTGATTACCAAAAGCAATTGTGCTGTAATAAGTGCTGCCAGATATCTGAAGTTTTTTTTACCGTGTTTGCAATAGTTTGCCAGTTTAATTTATAGTGCAATTAGGCACCTGCATTAATCAATTGTTCTCAATTCATAATTGTAAACTTTTCTCCTTTATACATATGTATGGGGTCGTAACTTTATACAGCTAATTTTAATTTTTAACTATCTTAAAAATACTTTTATATGTCTAAATTTAACGGCCGTGCAGAATTAGGTTAGATTACGCTGCGTTTACATAAGACTATTTGAGACAAGTAAAGTAGACAATTATAAAGACAATATATTTTTTAAGTTAGTGTCGTTTGGCGTGAATTTCATATTATTTACTAAAATATCCAAACACAAACCACTTTTTCATCATTCTGCGACTTCTTGCCATTTTGTCTTGCCTCTCTTTATCAAACTAACAAAGACAGTGATGAAAACAATGAGAGAAGTGTGAATGTATTAGTGAAAAGGTGTGAATATACTGCTATTATAGTGGCTGCCAGGCTTAAGCTTTATGCTGCATTTACATGAGGCGATTTTTTAGGCAATTCAACATTGCTCAAGAAAAATCGCTCGTGTAAATGGTGATTCAAAAATCGGTTGCCTCAAAGTAGGCAGCAAGTCAACTTTTGCAGGCGATTATTGCCTGTCAAAAAATCGCCTCATGTAATGGCTGCTTTAGTTTCCTCGAAAAGCGGCACCGTAATATTACGCGCGTACCATACCGAACGCTTTTCCCAATGCTAATAGCGGTACCGCTTTTGTGTAAAGCTAGATCAACGTAATGGGGAATTTACATGAGATCAAATGATCTTTCACATAATCGCTTTCAATAAAGTTAACCAGCTGCCCACTTTCGTTCAACTTTGCCTATGACAGTTGAATCATGTAAATCCCCTATAACGTAGCTGAGTGCATAGGCATTCATTGCTTTTCTCAAAATGAATTAGGACTTCATCCTCTTCGGTCGTCCTTGCACTTTCCACGTTATAATTTTATTTTGGTAAAAAAAATTGTAAACAAATTTTTTAATACACCGCTACAAACATGACGTTGCCAAAAAACGTTGATAAATAGTTCTACACCGTCACTGTCACCGTCAAAAATATATTACGGTGCCGTTAAATCACGTACCAGTGTGTATTGCCATCATCTTAGTTAGTTACGTTACCGCTTTCGAGGAAACCAAAGCTTTAGAGGACGCCAGCACACTTAGGCCCCGTCGTAGGGATACTTTCAGTGACAAGACGTACAGAACATGGCGAGTCGGTATTCCCACGACAGCCGGGTCTTTATAACCGGAACGACCCAGATTTATATCTAATTAACGACTGTTACTCTAGCATACTCCCCAAAAACTCTTTGGGGAATTTGCATGCTGTTACAATAATAATAGACGGCACAATGAAAACGTTGCCGCAAACAAAACGGCTCACTGTAATTGGCCAAAAATCAGCTGATTTGAATTCGTTCCATACATTGCTGTTTTGTCGTATTCCAAACTTAGAAGTTGCGCTTAGATCATTTAAAAAAACTTATACCTAATCGCAGGGTAATCGCAGAGTAAGTACCTGATTGATTCAGGCTCTTCTTCGTCATGGCAGCTCCTGCAGTAGTCATTGTGACTGACCTCGAGGCGTTCTGCATGCCTTTCTATCAGGATATGTCCTGCAAGCAGGCCAATGACCATTGACATATCACCTCTATTGGGAGATTGGGAGTGAGAATTTCTCTCGAGATCCATATATTCCATTTCGGCCACGTAAGCTTCGTTGATTCGGATGAAAGAAACTACAGTGGTCGGGTAGACAGAAGATAGTTGTATTCCAAATTGTTCCGAGTATACTCCTCCTCCTACTCTGTTTTCTAGTTTGGAGCCGTCCGTGTAGAATATTATGGCATCTTCAGATCCTGGAACTGGATGGCACAACGCCGAAACCGGTTTGTTAACCCAAGCTTGACAAGGGATGATGGAAATTCGTTCCAAAATAAATCATCCTGGAACTCCTTCGCTCCATAATTATCTGTTAGGTATGGCTTTGATATAACCTTTAGTAAAAGTGAACATTGGTACACAGTAGTCCGTTGTGCTCGGTAGTTGACGGTTGACAAGAATAGTAGTGTGTAGTCTTAGGGCTACCTATGGGTAGGATGTTTAAAACCGTATTCATTGCCTCAGTAGGTGTTGTGCGGGGAGCACCACTAATGCAAATCAAAGCCCACTAATGCAGTAGCCCACTAGAGGAGTATGGGTCTCACCACGACGGTGTATATCCAGTGCACTAGTTTCGGGGTTAAACTCCATTTTTGGCCTATTTCTCCTCTAGAACTGTAAAGGGCAACCGTTATTTTTGGAATAGCTCTCTACTGTTTTCTATTTTACCTGCGACATAGTGTCTGTGGAAATTTACCACTTATTGTTCGTGTAAGATCATCCCTTCCTACGAACCTGGTCAACGAAACCCCCGACAGCTCCGCCCGAACCACCCTGCATCGCAGCATTTGGTTAACAAGCGCAACTGAGCACGAGCTGATGCCCAGTCTCGTCATCGCTGCCGTTATTGCGTCAGGCATGATGTTCTTAAAGGCGCCTTCGATATCTAGGAAGGCTGCTAGCGTATATTCTTTGATGTTTATTGATCCCCTGGCTCGCCTTCTGAAATGAAGTTCACTGCTCCGTTCATGTCCAGGCCGTGCTTAATAACACCTTTCCTTTGTTCCAGCATCGCAATATACTTCTTTCTGAGAAGCCAGACAACCTGCATCATCGCTCAACCGCTCTCCATAACCTTCAAAACCACGGAGCCACCCTGAGATTCGACTTCCGAATGTACGACAAAAGATACCTTCTTTTTATGTCAGAACGCTCATAACTAGTCAAATAGTTCACAGAAGTAAGCTTTAATCGTATCGCCCTTCTTTTCAGCTTTGTTGTGGTCAGCATTCGGAGGCGAAGCCTATCTTCCACCACAAATTGCCTTATTACCTTCCCTGTCCATCTGTCCTAAAGAGAGGATATCTACCCGCCAGGCCTTTAAGGGGGTCTAACACGTTTACCGGGGTCGTCTACAAAAGAGCAAAATCTCATCCAGACTAGTTTATATAGCGAGCCGCTTGCTACAATACAGACAACCGCTTGTAGACGAAATGGACACCGCATCTCACACATCGGTTGTTCACGTTACCCAGGGTGCGGAAACGTGGACGCAAGAGTATAATTTTTTTTTTATTGTCGAGCAACTGTATCTGGATACATAGATGCCACCTATACACCATTGCACCCCACAAAGCCACCTACAGAGGACAAATATTCCGCGTACGGCCATGCTGCGATCGAGCGCAATACTTGATACGTTGGGTCGATAAAGTTAGCTGAACAGGGTAGCGATGAATTCATGCTTTGCCAAATCTTATTGAAAGGCTTGAGCCCACCATTAACGATCTGATTGGGCCTTTTCAATGTGGATTTAGACCTGGCAAATCTACCAAAGGCAATGTACCACATGCTCAGGTTTGGAAAAGATACGCGAGAAGAGGAGAAGTCTTCTACCGACGTATGAAAACCAAACTCTATGAATCACTCATCATGTCCGTGCTGGCATATGGCGCAGAAGCTTGGACAATGACAACATCCTATGAGGCGGCTCTCGGAGTATTCGCGACAAAGATTCTGCGGAAGATTTAAGTGCCTTTACGCGTGGGCAACGGCGAGTACCGCAGACGATGAAATGACAACCTACATATATGAGCTTAGGGACATAGACATTGTGCAGCGAATTACAATACAGCGGCTCCACTGGTTTAGTCATGCCCAACGAAGAGGCATACAGCCCTAGCTCCGCAATAAGCGAATTATTAAAGTCTTCAACACGCTGCCTGCTAGTGGTATAGAAAGAGGAATGCCTCCATTGGAAAGGACTTGGCTTCTCTCAAAAAGTATTAATTAAAGTTTTCTTAGTGCCAAGATCATTTTTAAGGTTTTCATTCCCTGTAACTACATTTAGTTTTTCAGTTTGAAACTTATAGATACATGAATGCACTTATATATATTATTATGTTTTAAACTAAGTGACCGTAAAGAATGGCTCATTGGCTGCAGTTTGGTAATCAAAGGCAAAACGCGTAAACCTCCGAACAAACTAAAAAAAAAAAAAATAAACTGAAATTCCTCTCACTTCATATCAAAAAGTCCTTGAAGGTCACAATGTACAGCTGAGCACTACTTCTTTAGCTGCCAATTTGCCAAACCCTATCTGTCGGTCACTTTCCCTTCCCACTAGGAGATCAACCACAGCCAGACATATTCTCCTCTTAGCGGGTGGGTGTCAATGGATGGATATTTGCTCTTGGCAAGTCACAAAGTAAATATTGGCGCCGTCAGCTGATTGGATTGGCGGTGAAAAGTGCCATTTTTCACGGGTAATCGGAGGTTCATTGCACTTGTCTATGACCCCGAAAGGACGACCAAAGGACGAATGTGCGAGAGCGAAAAGGAAAAAGAACTCATTTATTATACATAATTCTTTGTACACCATACATACATACATGTGTATACGAAACAAAATAATACCCTTGCTGCGCAATAAATAAAATAAAAAATGAAAACTAACAATGCACATACTCGTGCAACATAGAGTTTGTATGTATGTATGTATGTATGTATGTATACATGCATGTTAAGCAACAATGTGAATGGCCATTTACAACGAATCGTTCGTTGCTCATATTCGTTAGCCGGCTAGCAGCCACTCTGCACACGCTTAATTTATTCCAATCCCGTTGTAGTAGCTCAAAATGCGGTGAATACATAATGTAATAAGTGCAGAAGAGCGAAGAATGCGAAGTAGAACTAAATAGAAGCCACAGCGATGAAAATACATAAAGAAGAAGACGTCAGGCGGGGGGCGGCCACCTTACGAAGTAAACCGAAGAAAAATGGCTAACGCACCCCCCATCATGCCAAACAAGTGCTACAAGAAAACAAGAACCACGTGAATTATACCAATAACAAACAGTAGACAAAAAACAACAATAAGTTTATTACAATAAGCACAACAAGACTTTGTAAATACGCCATTTGGCGCCACCCCCAAAATTTGAGTAATTTACGTCGTTTGCGGGACCACCAAGGGAGTAGTGCGGTTAACAATTTGCACGGAGAAACGCGCCACCAGTACATTTCGTTTAAGGTTTGTGTGGTCGTGTAACGTTTTATTACTTTTTAAGAAATACCAACTGCCAGTGATTGAGCAGCATAGTGAGTGCTGGTAAAATGCGCAGGATCCACTTGAGCATTGCCGGAAGTGGGTTTGAGGACTAACCAGCGCAGAGCTTTTACTCAATTCTTGTCTCTTGCCGGCGCTGGGCAATTGAGTGAGTTTAAATGGGGAAACTTGCGCCTTTGCAGACAAGTGAAAATGTTTTTTGGTTTTTACTTAGTTGTAATTGCGCTGCCGCGTGGGTAAGGTCAGTTTTCAAAATTTCGTTTATCGACATAAAAGTGAGAAATTATGGTTTGAAAATGCGTAAAATAAGTCGAACTTTTTTATTGTAGAAAATGTCCCTATAATATTTAGCGAATCACTTTGACCAAAATCGGAGTACGACAACTTCTGCAAGGAATTGTTTGAAAACTCCAAAGAATTCTGAGAAAGTTTTATTTACAATTTAACT